TTGGTAGAACAAATATGAGTGACCCTAAGGGGCAAAATGAGTCAGACCATCACAGGTGAGGGAGGCTCCCTGGCTGCAGTTATGCTGCATAAGTTGTGTGTGTGTGGGAGCCTGGACTCACAGGGCTGTTGAAGGGATGCATAGTAGGGAACCCGGCACTACAGAGACTCCCTGTGCACCAAGGAGCAGTTGAAGATATGACAAGATATTGATCAAGGCTTTAAATCTGTTTACTAAATGGCAGGGATGGAGCGGTGCTAGTACAGTCCTCCCACTGCCACAGGAGTGCCGCGGGGCTCTATCAGGCTCCAAGGACTAGCTCTACATCTGCTCTACAACCTGGGAAGGAGAATTCTGTTCTCCCTTGGCTGGGCCCTGGGTCTCTGGATGTGGCCCTATGGGTACGTCTACAGTGTTTTCAAACCTGTGGCAGTGAGTCGGAGAGCATGGGTCCACAGACTTGGGCTTGCGCTACGGCTCTACAAACTGCTATGCAAAGATACGGGCTGGGAGTCTGAAGACCAGGGTGGGGGATGGCTTTCAGAGCCCAAACTCCAGCCTGACTCGTGACTTCAGAGTGCTGGCTACACAGCTGTTTTTAGAGTGTTAGACCAAACTCTGCTAGCCCAACTCTGTAGACCTGGGCTCTGAGACTTGCTGAGGCAGGTTTTGAAACATAGTGTTGGCATACCCTACGTGGCCATGCTGTGATTCAGTGGCACTAAATCCAGTTTGGATCTTTGGATCAATCTGCCTGCACAGAGGTGATCGGTATTACCTACCAGCTGGTCAGCTTTGTGCTTGACTAGGCGAACTGGGAATCACACCACCCAATTCAAATGCAGACATACCCTGAGTGTCTCTGCATTGCTCGGCGAGAGGCGGAAGCAAAGTCGACGGGGGATCCCGCGCCGCGAGGACACGAAGTAAGTAATTCTAAGTCGATCTAAGATACGTCGACTTCAGCTACGCTATTCTCGTAGCTGAAGTTGCGTATCTTAGATCGATCCCCCCCACTAGTGTAGACCAGGCCTTAGAGGTAGGCAACATGAGAAATATTTTCTGTCAAATATCCTCCCCCCAGCTTGACACAAAGCTATTTTTAAATTTCCTTCCCTAATGCTTTAGGCCAGTGCTTGAACTGGATGAGTGATGCCCCGGGGGGGGGGGGGGGAGGAGGAGGGGGATTTATTTATGTCTCCACTTCTCACTTGCTGCAGGCTAAAAAAGGGAGAAATGTTTGAAGACAAAAAAAAAAGACAGTGTAAACAGTTGAAGTATAATATCTTCGGGTTGGGGGAGGGGAAGGAAGAGGACCCTATCAGTTTTTGAAAGGATTGGGGGCAATAACCATCACTCCCTGTGGGAGGGTTGAAGGGGGGCAGAGCCATTATTTTTTGTGTGGGAGAAAAATATCAGTATTGCCAACCACAAGGATTCAAAAACCAGGGGTCAGCTCTCCAAAGTAAAGAGATTTGCTTAAAAACCTTGAGTTTAACATTATATATAAATATAGATATAGGATATATATAAAATTCTTTTTATTTGCCTTCCAGATTTTGAGCGGTGAGGGATCATGTTTTGAAGCTTTTCACTGCAGCCAGGAAAGCTAGAAACTACTTAAAAAAAAACATAATCCTGAGATTCTCCTTCAATCACATGACTCCAGGAGCTGGGGCTTTAAGAAAGGCCTCAGATATCATGAGACTCATGATAAAATTGCAAGAACTGGTAATGCTGCATCTGATTGCATTTTTGGGACTGGGTGGGTCGATAAGGGCCATACCGTCACTTGCTTCCCTCCTGCAAATCTGCACCCTTCTCTAGCCCCTGTGTGTGTGGAATGTGTGCAAAGAACACAGGCAAACAACAAATAGCTGTTCTCTTCCCAGTAGACCAGCTGCTTTATTGTTTCTGAAACACAATGGGGGTGTGTGTTTGGCTTTCCTTATAACGAAACCATTTTGTTTTGAATATACACTGAGAGATTTAAAGTAAACACTGCTTGATTTCCCCCCCTCATTCATTTCTGTGATGTCAGCATCTACCTTTCTACTCTATTCCTTGAAAATGAACTAAGCACAGGACCATAGATCGTACATATGGATAAAAGGGAGTCTCCTGCATCATCTTTAATCTGCAGAGCTCCTCAAAGCAAGTTAGACAGACATTTTATAGAGAGCAAAATAAGGAAACGAGAAATCTAATCTGTAGCTGAGGATCAAACTGATGTGGTTCATTGAAAAGTACATTACATTTGTTATGAATAAGGCTTTAATTTACCCAATGAAGTAGGGAGTCCATTCAGCAGTTATTCATCAGCATTCATCCATTTAGAGAGGTGGAATTCACTTGCACCTTAATCACACGCATATCAATATCAACCATTATACCACAGAAACAAATATATCTGAAATGCCAATCTAAAGAAAGGTGTAGGTACACAAATAAAAGGGCTCTGCTGGACAGACTTAGCACACCTGCAATAAATTCAGTAGAAAGTAATTAAAAAAATCAACTCCATTATGGACACTGTCTACATCAGATACCTTGGACTGTTTTATGTAAAGACCTGATCTGAACAGAAAACACAATTCTTGCTAAGTATCAGCATATTTTAAGCCCGATTCTCAGGTGGTAGAGCTACACCGATTTACATCAGCTGAAGATTTGGTCCTGCTTACCTAAAACTTGTAAAAGTTAGCTACAAAGTAAAAAAAAAAAAATCAAACTTGACTTGTTCCTAGATTTCTGAATAGGATTCTCTTACTAATCAGGCTGGTGGAGGGGTGGGGTTGGGAAAGCACAGGAACCAGTTTTAACATTATTTGCTTGCTTCCCTAGAGAATTTTCTTGGTGCTTTTGGCTCAATGCCAATATCCCACAATGGGACATCACAAAAAACTGAAGTTTCACTGCAGCCCACAAAACCCATGGTATTTGTGATGTGCAGAATGATGCGTTCAAGGATACAGTCAATGAAGCAGCATAGTTCCATTTCATGGATGGAAAAAATTACCAAAAAGGCTGCTTAAACATAATTTCTGTTAAAAAATTAACATCTGCAAACACTTAGCAGGTATAGAGTTTACTAATAGACATGGTCTTATTGGCTTTGGTGGGACTATGCCTGATTATTAAGCACTATAGCCAGCAGTAATTGTTTGCAGGACCAGATCTTTGGTTAGCATAGAAATCCAATTATTATCAGTATTAGAAAATACAGTGGCACCTAAAGACCCCAACCAAGACCGAAGCCCAATTATCATAAGCACCGTATAGACACACAGTGATAGACAGTCCCCCCTGCCAAAGGGCTTGCAATCTAAATAGTGTAAAATAGCAATGATAGTTCTTTTGTCTATCACCATTTTACAGATAGGGAAACTGAGGCACAGAGCAATTTAGTGACTTGTCCAAAGTCACACATGAACTCTGTGGCAGAGCCAGGAATTGAACTCGGATTTCCTAAGCCCTAGTTCAATGCTCTAAACCCAAGACAATAATTTAGGGTAGAACTTAACTCTCATTTTTACCTATAAATCAACTGTTGATATTTCTGCAGTTGCTTAAGTCTCTTCCTCTCTTCTGAGAAAACTTTGGGCTGGTCTACACTAGTGGGGGGGATTGATCTAAGATACACAACTTCAGCTACGTGAATAGCATAGCTGAAGTTGAAGTATCTTAGATCGATTTACCTCGGGTCCTCACGGCGCGGGATCGACGGCCGCGGCTCCCCCGTTGACTCCGCTACCGCCTCTCGCTCTGGTGGAGTTCCGGAGTCGACAGGAAGCGCGTTCGGGGATCGATTTACCGCGTCTAGACGAGACGTAATAAATCGATCCCCGATAGATCAATTATTACCCGCCGATTCGGTGGGTAGTGAAGACGTACCCTTTGGTACAGTACAGTACCTTTTGATTTTGTCTCCTTTACCAACTAGCATAGCTGAATCTTCCCACTTCCTCACTCTCCTCTCCTACTGGCTGTATTCCATTGACAATTTCTTCCTCGTTACAGTTTTTGTAATGCACTAGTCAGTCATGCTCATTTCCACAGAGTGGATAGGATTCCTTTCTCCGTATTCAAGGCCGCTATAAAAATACTAGGTCAGATCATCCACTGGCATAAGCTGGCAGAGCTCTGCTGAAGTAAATGGAGCTCTGCCAATTTATACCAGCTAAGGATGTGTCCCATTGAGTTTAGAGCAAGAGCTACACTTTTGCTGTGCAAGCTAGGACAACATGTCAGTTCAACACTGGACTGCATCCATGGCCTAAAACTCAATGACAAAAGTCGTCAAGTGGAAGAACGTTTTCCAGAGACACTCCATTCTCGACTACTATCCAAAAGAGTGGAAGAAATGCTTATTTATAATTATTTTCTAGGTTCCAGACAAATTATCTAGTCAGTGCAATCCACAGCCAAGAATTACATTTCACAAGTATTACCCAAATGGTTTTAATGGTAATCCTCTGCCTGAAGCAATCCTAGTTTACTGCAGCAGAAAGGGTGATTAAGTGCATGATTAGATACTAGCTAGGAAGCAGGTGGGACTTTCTTCAGCACACCTGGTGGATCAGTTGCCTGGAGCTTTTGCAGGTCTTGGCAAAGTCTTGACTGCTATGGGCTGTGTGTCTTAGGGCTAGTCTACACTAGAAGCGCTATATCGGCGCAGCTGCACTGATGACGCTCTATGCGGACGGGATAATTAGCATTATTACTCCACCTCCAATAGAGGTGGATGCTGTGTTGGCAGGAAAGCATCTCCCGCCAACATAGCACCAGTGTGGACAGCGCTTAGGTCACTGTAACTGGCATCGCTCAGGGGGGTGTCTTTTCCACACCCCTGAGCGACATGTTATATCAACATAAGTGATAGCGTAGACCTGCCCATATGCACTAATTGAATCTAGCTAAAAAGTGGAGGTTCTCCTGAGAGCACTTGGCTGCCACATGACAGATACAGCAGGTCTGATTATATTGTCATGTCCACTTACCATTTGAAGAACACCAAAATATGACATCAGATATCCAGTCTGTGCTGCCTCCAGCCCAAAGAAATTCATAGAGATGATGGAAAACATAACCAGGAACAAACCTACAGAGTGTATTAAAAAGAAAATACCTTTAATGGGTATTGGAATATATTTACAGTGCAAGTAAAGGGCCACACCCTGCTTAGTTATCACTGATGTAAAGGCAGTGGAGTTGCTCTACATTAATGCTGAATGCAGACAAATATACTTTGGGTTTAAAAAAAAAATCTTTCACCATTTCAACTATTGCCTTTAAAAATGTAACTTAGAGGAAGTTAGATACAATCATGCTGATTAGTGGACGCAGTTCACAAGGTTTTATTAGGCCAGACATGCTAACCTTTAGGATAGCACAAGAAAAAAAATTTTTTGTTCAGGCAAGATTGTAACCAGGGGATAATTCCTCATTCTTTTTGCCTAACTTCAGATTTTCACCATTGGATTTGGGGTCTCAGAAACAGTCTAGGGACAGGAGATTAAATACAGTGGTTTCACTGTGCACTGGGTGAATGACTTCATTGGTACGTGGAGTTTCTGTCTCTCATGCATCTCTAATGTTGTCAGCACAGAGAGGCAGTCAAAGAAGCATGGATGGCCTCAGCCCACAGTGGGCCTGCTTTTCAATTACTGTATTTTACACACACACACACACCCCTACAGACCAGTACATAATAAGTAGATACTTGCCACAAAATAAAAGTACAGCAAAGGATGTCTGAGGATGACAGTTTGCTGGCAAACGACTCACTAACTCAGCTACAGCAGAAGGATTTTGCCCACATTTCCTGTGACGCTGAGAAGGATAATAATTATCGGTCTATAATGCTGTACACTCACAGGGGTTCACTTTGTCCACCTGTTACAAGCATACAACTAGATTATTTTCACTTGTAGCTTTAGAGGCATTTAGACAGGGAAATATATTTTTCAATGGAAGTCCACAAAAACAAGATGTTTACTAAAGGCTATATTGTACAGAGCATACTGTCACACATATTAGACCAGTTCCTCGGTGGGTGTAAATCAGTGGAACTACAGTACACCAATTCACTCCAAATGAACATCTGGCCTATTGACCACATCAATTCATAACTTTTCCAGTGGTCTGTCTTGGCTGACCAACAGAACTAAGATGGCTGCTGAAGTTCCATCCACTGTCCACCTTACACTGCTTGCGATGTAAAGCTAGACAATGTATTTGACAGCTATTGGCTAGCATTAGGAGTGGGGAGAAAGGTGTGTTCACTATGACCAGAATTTTCAGAGGAGCTGAGCACTCACAGTCAGGGCCAGGCTTCCAGAAGACATTTTTTAAAACTTAAATTGACCTTTATGTAGGTGCCTAAATGGGAGCTGAACTGCTTTGAAAATCTGGACCAAACTGTGGCTACTGAGCTCTTGAAAATCTGCCTGTGCCCTCTTTTGAAAATCTGGTCCAAGAAGAAGTGATGAGCCTTGCACAGTATAAAGTGTATACATGGCTTGGGAGACTCAATAAAAACTGGGAAATTTGGGGTAACATTTTAAAAAGGGGCTAAGTGACTTAGGTTCCGAAGTCCCATTTTCAAATGTGATTTTGGCACTTAGGAAACTAAGTCCCATTGACTTTCCGTGAGATTTAGGCCTATGACATGTGGTTTGGGGTGTCTCAATTTTGGGGTTCCTAATTTCACACACCTTAAAGGAGTCTGAATTTCAGAACGTGCTGAGCATTCACCCTCTGAAAATCAGGCCCTTGTAAGGGGTCTCAAGTTAGGTACCCAAAAACTGAAGCACCAAAAATCACTCGTCACTTTTTAAAATCTTGGCCTAAGTTCATAAGTCCATTTTGGAAAGGTGATTTAGACTCTCACGTAATGACCTACAGCTAAATTTTCAAAGGTATTTAGGTACCTAAATATGCAGATAGGCAAATAGTGGGATTTTCAGAAGTGCTGTAGTCCCCTTGATTTCAAAGGGAGTTAGGTGCCCAGGTGCTTTGCAAAATCCTACTGGGGCCTATCTGCATCCTTAGGCGCCAAAATATCTTTGAAAATCTGGACCCGAAGACACTTTTGAACATTTTACCCTTGGTCAGTTTTGCTTTCTCTCTCTTTTACTTACTGCATTTTAATGGGGCATTTTCCCCCCCGCATAAGTTGAGAATGAAGCACTGTCATGTAGTAAAATACCCCACCTTGTTCTTAGACTGGCAGATATTCCCACTATTAGAGGTACCCAAACTATACCAGCCCATCTGTCCATCACCACCCTGCCTTAAATGTACCTCACTTAGGAAGGTACTTATTAGCCCACATAAGTTAATTTTAGTGAGTAACCACTGCCGACTTGCCTCTATATACATTACAAACTTGTTTACAATGTAAATAGAAGCAGGTCTGTAATTTAGACGAATTAACTAATATAATTATATGGTTGCAGTAGTGAGATGAAGGTAGATGAGAGTTTAGCCTCAAGCAGTGAGGTGCAAATAAGTGGACAACAGCCAAATCACCTCAGGCTGTAATCATCAGGTCAGTAACTTGATGTGAGACCTGAAAAGTGAAGTTAGATGTTGCTAGAGATTTAATAGGTGGAGTTCTTCTGTGTCAGCCAGCTACTTTCCCAGTGTGGCACTGTGCTTCTGGAGGGACAGTCTTTCCAATGAAACATAAGATGAGACCCTAGGCACTCAGGATTGTTAAAAGTTCCCATGACATTTTTTTTCAAGTGTTAGAATATTAGCCACTGTGTCCTGTCCAAATCCCATCTTAATTAATTATATTTTGCCTACCTGACAGTTCCCCTTTAGTTTTTGAATGGCATTGTTATTCTTTGTTTCCCCCTGTAAATATGGTACATTGCTGCTTGTGCAGAATGGCTGCCATGTTCCACCCCATAGGATGATGCATTTCGGCAGTGGGTGACTAATACTGAGATATAAAGTGCATCTTCGGATTCTTTTGGAAGAAAGTTGCTACATGTGGTACATATGAGGCATTATGTTGTAGACGGCACAGAACTACAGCCTCAGGGTTACACAGTGACATTTTAAAAGTTAAAAATAATACCATAAGCAACACCTTGAAATTAGGAATCCCCTTAAAAATATCACTTTACAATCCTGCCTGTTTTGTAAAACAGAATAATTCTATGAATTTTCCATTAGGCGAGTGTAGTTAAAGGCAAGTAACATTTTTGGAAGAGTTAAGGGAATTGCATTTTTCCTTTGGCCTTCCTTGCATACTGTTCTTTTCTCCAGTGGGTTTTCTTTGGACAGGGGTGTTAGACTACACAGAACTCAGCATCTCCAGTCAATGCCAAGTGCATGCAAGAAGAGAAACGCAGAACTTCCTTACAGATTCCTATAGAAGACAGTGAGTCTTGTTTATTATATGTCAGGACATTTTCCAGGGAATATTAAAAAATTTTTGTCAAGCCCAGAAAGGCTGAAATGCCATCTCTCTCTTTCAGCCACTCCTAGTAAATCTGCTTTGATATGCAAGTTAAGTTTAATGTTACTTAGACATCAAGAATCATTTTTAAAAGGGCCTCCTCCTTTTTTGAGAGTTTGCAAAAGTTGTGCACACATCCACCTAACACAGTTCCTGTGTCCATAAATTGGCACTTTCCCAATATCTTTAGGCACACAAAAGTGAAGCCTTGAAATTGCAGAGGGATGGTACTGATCATTTGCACAATTAGCAGAAAGAACCCTCAAGAGTCTCCAAGTGAAAAACGCACACCAAATTATTGAGGTCATCCCTTCCTGAGTTCAGGGCCCTGTCCCCTACAAAAGATTGTGACCACTGCATTAGATTCTGCCCCTCTCCTTATGTCAGAAGTAGTAGGATGAGCAGATTATTTGTACATGCACAGGCGGGCCAGCTGCTTCCTGACACAACATATGGGAGGAGAAAGGGTTGTACCATTCAGTGAGGAGGAGGAATATTCATTAATAAGCAGCACAGCCGTACAGAACAGGACGCCATCACAGCCTCAGAAACAACTCTGACATCATAATCAAAAAGGCAGACAAAGGAGGTGCTGTTGTCATCATGAATAGGTCAGAATATGAACAAGAGGCTGCTAGGCAACTCTCTGACACCACACTCTACAGGCCATTACCCTCTGATCCCACTGAGGGTTACCAAAAGAAACTACACCATCAGCTCAAGAAACTCCCTGAAGAAGCACAAGAACAAATCTACACATACACACCCCTAGAGCCCCAACCAGGTGTATTCTATCTGCTACCCAAGATCCATAAACCTGGGAATCCTGGAGGCCCCATCATCTCAGGCATTGATACCCTGACAGCAGGACTGTCTGGCTATGTGGACTCTCTCCTCAGGCCCTATGCTATCAGCACTCCCAGCTATCTTCGAGACACCACTGACTTCCTGAGGAAACTACAATCCATTGGTGGTCTTCCAGAAAACACCATCCTAGGCACTATGGATGTAGAAGCCCTCTACACCAACATTCCACACAAAGATGGACTACAAGCCGTCAGGAACAGTATCCCTGATAATGTCACGGCAAACCTGGTAGCTGAACTTCGTGACTTTGTCCTCACCTACAACTATTTCAGATTTGGGGACAATTTGTACCTTCAAGTCAGCGGGACTGCTGTGGGTACCTGCATGGCCCCACAGTATGCCAACATTTTTATGGCTGACTTAGAACAATGCTCCCTCAGCTCTCATCCCCTAATGCCCCTACTCTACTTACACTAGTCATTGATGACATCATCATCTGGACCCATGGGAAAGAAGCCCTTGAGGAATTCCACCAGGATTTCAACAATTTCCACCCTACCATTAACCTCAGCCTGGAACAGTCCACACATGAGATCCACTTCCTGGACACTACAGTGCAAATAAGCGATGATCACATAAACACCACCCTATACCAGAAATCTACTGACCACTATACTTACCTACATGCCTCCAGCTTTCATCCAGACCACACCACACGATCCATTGTCTACAGCCAAGCTCTAAGATACAACTGCATTTGCTGCAATCACTCAGACAGAGACAAACACCTACAGGATCTCTATCAAGCATTCTTAAAACTACAATACTCACCTGCTGAAGTGAAGAAACAGATTGACAGAGCCAGAAGGGTACCCGGAAGTCACCTACTACAGGACAGGCCCAACAAAGAAAGTAACAGAATGCCACTAGCCGTCACCTTCAGCCCCCAACTAAAACCTCTCCAGTGCATTGTTACCTGAAATTGGGCCAGCTAGTAAGCTTAGGGAGGACTAATGACCCACCACAGTTTGGCAGAAAGCAGCACGTTTATTATTCTGATAGCTAAGCTCAAAAGAAGGGTGGGGGTCACACTCACACTCGCATACTCATGCTCCCAGGACAGGCACAGCACTGGAGATGTTAGGATCCTTGAAGGTAAGTGTCCCACAGCGCAGTGATGGACGATGTGATGAAGGTAAGTCTTCCCGAGGCATGATGGAATGCAACGCGGAGAACCACTGGCCAGGCGGTCCTCACGGGAGGTACAAGCTTGTGAGTGCACTCCTGAGCACATGGCCCCTTCCCCTTTTAAGGATCTGCTCCTCATGGCCTGCGACTAGAGATGCCTTGGCTGCGCCAGGTTGGTCACACTCCACCTCCGGCAGTGTCCATGCAGCGTCCATGCATTGGGTGTGTGATCACTACCTAATTAGAGTCCCAGACACCTTGTCTACCTGGAAGTTCTTCTGATCTTCCAGCTGTTCAACCAGCCCATTCATCCCAGAAGCATTCCAGGAGGGAGGGGGAGGGGGAGGGGGAAAGCCACTTCACAGGTATTCAGAGAGGGAGAGGAGACAAAAGGGGCGGTGGAAGTGTAACAGACCTTTTGAGCATACAGGTTATACATAGCATACAGATCACTGGTGCTCCTACAACACGCATCATGAAGGATCTACAACCTATCCTGAAGGATGATCCCTCACTCTCACAGACCTTGGGAGACAGGCCAGTCCTCACTTACAGACAGCCCCCCAACCTGAAGCAAATACTCACCAGCAACTACACACCACACAACAAAAACACTAACCCAGGAACTTATCCCTGCAACAAACCCCATTGCCAACTCTGTCCGCATATCTATTCAAGGGACACCATCATAGGACCTAACCACATCAGCCACACCATCAGGGGCTCATTCACCTGCACATCTACCAATGTGATATGTGCCAGCAATGCCCCTCTGCCATGTACATTGGCCAAACTGGACAGTCTCTACGCAAAAGAATAAATGGACACAAATCAGACATCAAGAATTATAACATTCAAAAACCAGTCGGAGAACACTTCAATCTTCCTGGACACTCAATAACAGACTTAAAAGTGGCAATTCTTCAACAAAAAACCTTCAAAAACAGACTCCAATGAGAAACTGCAGAACTGGAATTAATTTGCAAACTGGACACCATCAAATTAGGCCTTAATAAAGACTGGGAGTGGATGGGTCACTACAAAAACTAATTTCCCCATACTAATTTTCCCCTACTGTTACTCACACCTTCTTGTCAATTGTTTGAAATGGGCCACCCTGATTACATTGGCCTCATTACCACTACAAAAGTGATTTTTCCTCCCTTGGTATTCTACTGTTGAGAATAGCCCACTTCCACTTTAATTGAATTGTCTCGTTAGCACTGACGCCCCCAGTTGGTAAAGCAACTCCCATCTTTTCATGTACTGAATATATATATACACATCTGCCTACTGTATTTTCCACTCCGGGCATCTGATGAAGTGGGTTTTAGCCCATGAAAGCTTATGCCCAAATAAATTTGCTAGTCTCTAAGGTGCCACAAGGATTCCTCATTGTTTTTGCTGAAACAGACTAACACAGCTACCACTCTGAAAACAGTCGCATAGTAGGGGAAGTCATAAAAGCTGTCAGCTTCCCTATATGTATGTATAAATGAATGCAGACAGACATGAATGAATGCTGCTGGTCCAGCAATCTCTCTTCTCATTGTTGAAAATGTATCATTATTTTCTTATTATTTTATTTGTATTGCAGTGTTGATGCCAGTAGGTCTAGTGAACCAAGTTCTTCCATGTTTAAACTCTAATCGGCCTCAAAAGCCAAGGGCAGAAATTGGAATGTGTAAACAGCCAGTTATCAGTTACAAACCCCCCTCCCCTCATACCAGGTACCAAGCGATAATGATGAGGTTTGCTTGTTTCTAGCTGGAGAAGGGGTAATAAATTAAGGGTAAACAAGACCAGATAACAGTTTAGAGGAGTGTTACTAACAAGCTAGATTTATAGCCCTAGAATGATTTAACGGCTTAAATGTATAAACATGCCTTCGGTAGAGAGGGGAGGGGGAGTAGAGGGAGAGATAGAGGGGGGGTAGTAGAGAGGGGGAGAGAGCGGGGGCTTAGTTGTAAAATGTATAAGAAGAGAGAAACTGTTTTTGCTAGTGTGCTTAATCTGAGACTTGCCTGTCTCCTTGCACCATTTTGAGATCTCAAATAAACTTTGTTTGCTTCTCCACCCCGGTATGTTTATTGGCGCGAAGCACACCGGGCAACGAACCCCGCTGTTGCTGTCCTCGGGCCTCTGTGCTGGCAACAGCAGCAATGTCTAGAGGCCCCAACTGAGTTCCATTTTACTAGGTGCTGCACAAACAGTCTAGTTCATTCTCTGAGCTGAAGAACTTACAGACTAAATAGACAAGACAAACAAAGGATGGGAGAGATAAAGTTTCCTTATTCCCATTTTACAGATGGGGAACTGAGGTAGAGATAATACGTGATTTGCCCAAAGTCACATGAAAACCCATGGCAGGAAATTTGTTATAAATTCAACTTCAGATTTGGACCCTATATAATTGTGAGTGGCCTGTGCTGGAATATGCAACACTGAATATGGAATAGCTCCAGCAGAAAAAAAAATAGTCCTGCTTCCGTTCTCCTTCACCAATGAGCAAATATAAAGGGCTTTCAGATATACATGAAAAGCAACTCTACTGGATTTATAGTTGTTATTTTAAATTCTACGATGACCACAGAGAATTACCTGTAGGGAGTCCGGAAAAGACCTTGATTAAGAACACTTCCTTTACTCCCGGAAGCTTCAGCAGGCGTAGGATTTCTTTGAGACTAAACACACTGGACTGTGATGTGCCTATGAAAATGACGGACAAAATAATAGTCTATTTACAAGGAGTAGAAGCAGGAAACAAGAAACGATACATTCTCTTATTACACTCACAACCAACTCTCCACAGGGAAAATTTCTTCCTTCTTCTCTGCATCATGGTTCTCCATTGCCTGTTTGGGTTTGGTTCTATGTGCATGGAACCCCACTACCATCAGGGGGATGTTGGTGTGCAGAGCAAAAGCAGAATATCCAATAGACATCTGCAGTGTGGGTCAGAGACAGGCAGAGCTGATGGGAGAGGACAATGCTGCATATGATTCAAAAACCTATAGCCCTTTCCCTTTTAGCATTCCCTCCAGCCCTTATAATTGGACACACAGTGGGACAGTCTCATGACATTTCCACCTTCTCACCCATCCCAAATCTTTTTTTATTTTAGCTTCACATAGATTTTCACAACTGATACAACTTGGAAAATGTGTGTGAAGATTGGACATAGAACCAAAGTCTGAAAGACGATGCACCATAAAATACCACACAGAAATAAATTACAAGGCCTGACACCTTTAAAGAAAAGATAACCCAAGCCAGATCTTCAGCTCGTATAAATCAGCCTTAAGCGATCAAAGTCACTGATTTACAGCAGCTGAAACTCCACCCATGACACTATTGACCAAGATGCTGTCCACTCGATCCACCGTGCACAGAACTCCCATTCAAAGGGGAGTTCCGAATGTGGAGGCCTTGCACATTGGGCCTTTTATGCACAATAGTCCCCTTGCTAGAGCCACCTATGTACAATAGAGAATCGGTGTTCAGGCTGAGCTGTAAATATTCTTGGTTTTCTGGCCTTCGTGTTATCTGAAGAGTTTACTGGAATGTAATCCATATGGTTGAAATTATTGTTTTTGCATTAGTGGGTTTTAAAAAAATCCTCTGAAAAGAGTTTCTGTGATTTGGCACAGGGGACTAGTGAATGCATAGGACTGGGCATTAAGTAGAGAAAACTCTAAGTTTAATGGAGTAGTGGAGGCTGGGTGAATGTCAGTGGAGAATTGAGCACTTCTGTAAACAAACTGGGTTGCAGCTGTTACAGCTATGGCAATTTCCTGCAATATCCTGGACAAACCTTACTGAATTAAGTTAAACCTTACTGAATTACGTTTAAGTATCTTAGGGTACGTCTATACCCAGCCGCTAGTTCGGCGGCTGGCAATCGAACTTCTGGGTTCGACTTATCGTGTCTTGTCTGGACGCGATAAGTCGAACCCGGAAGTGCTCGCCGTCGACTGCGGTACTCCAGCTCGGCGAGAGGAGTACCGCGGAGTCGACGGGGGAGCCTGCCTGCCGCGTGTGGACCGAGGTAAGATCGAACTAAGGTACTTCGAAACTTCATCTACGGGAATAACGTAGCTCAAGTTCGAAGTA